TACAGATTGAGTAAGTATGGTGAAAAGATACAACCCTGACGCACACCTTTTCTGACTTTAAACCATGCGGTATCCCCTTGTTCTGTTCAAACAGCTGCCTCTTGGTGTAAGCACAGGTTCCTCATGAGCACAATTAAGTGTTCTGGAATTCCCATTCTTCACAATATTATCCATAATTTGTTATAATCCACAGAGTTGAATGTCTTCACATAGTCAATAAAACAGAGGTAAACATCTTTCTGGTATTCTCTGCTTTCAGCCAAGATCCATCTGAAATAAGCCTTGATATCCCTTGTTCCACATCCTCTTCTGAATCCAGCTTGAATTTCTGGCAATTCCTTGATGATGTATTTACTGCAACTGCTTTTAAATGATCCTCAGCAAAATTCTACTTGCGTGTGATGTTAATGATACTGTTCGATATTTTCCACACTCTATTGGATCACCTTTCTTTGTAATGGGTACAAATATGGATCTCTTACATTCAGTTGGCAACGCAGCTGTCTTCCAAATTTCTTGGCATAGATGCATGAGCACCTCCAGAGCCACATCTGTTTGCTGAAACATCTCAGTTGGTATTCTGTCAATTCCTAGAGCCTTGTTTTTTGCCAATGCTTTCAGTGCAGCTTGGACCTCTTCCTTCATTACCATCGGTTCTTGATCATATGCTATTTCCTGAAATGGATGAATGTTGACCAATTCTTTTTGAGACAGTGACTCTGTGTATTCCTTCCATCTTCTTTTGATGCTTCCTGCATCGTTTAGTATTTTCGCTGTAGAATCCTTCAATATTTCAACTCGAGGCTTGAATTTTTTTCTTCAGTTCTTTCAGCTTGAGAAATGTCAAGCATGTTCTTCTATCTTTTGGTTTTCTATCACCAGGTCTTTGCAGATTTCATTATAATACTGTACTTTGTCTTCTCAAACCGTCCTTTGAAATCTTCTGTTCAGCTCTTTTACTTCATCATTTCTTTTGTTTTAGCTTCTCTACGTTCAACAGCAACTTTCAGAGTCTCTTCTTATATCCATTTTGGTCTTTTCTTTCTTTCCTGTCTTTTTAATGACCTCTTGCTTTCTTCATGTATGATGTCCTTGATGTCATTCCACAACTGATCTGGTCTTCGGTCATTAGTGTTCAATGGGTCAAATCTATTCCTGAGACAGTCTCTAAATTCAGATGGGATATACTCACGGTCGTACTTTGGCTCTTGTGGACTTGTTCTAATTTTCTTCAACTTCAACTTGCGTATGTGCAATTGATGGTCTGTTCCCAAGTCAGCCTATGGCCTTGTTCTGACTGATGATATTGAGATTTTCCACTGTCTCTTTCTACAGATGTAGTCGATTTCATTCCTGTGTATTCCATCTGGTGAGGTCCATGTCATACAGTTGCCATTTATGTTGCTGAAGAAAGGTATTTGCAATGACGAAATCATTGGTCTTGCAAATTCTATCAAGCAATCTCTGGCATCATTTCTATCACCAAGGGCATATTTTCCAGCTACTAATCCTTCTTCTTTGCTTCCAGCTTCCGAATTCCAATCACCAGTAATTATCAATGCATCTTGACTGCATGTTTGTTCAATTTCAGACTGCAGAAGTTGGCAAAAACTGTCAGTTTCTTCATCTTTGGCCTTAGTGGTTGGTGCATGAATTTGAGTAACAGTCCTATTAACTGGTCTTCCTTGTAGGTGTATGGATATTTTCCTAACACTGACAGTATTGTACTTCAAGATAATTTTTGAAATGTTTTGATGATGAACATGACGCCATTCCTCTTCAATTTGTCATTCCTGGCATCGTAGACCATATGATTTTCTGATTCAAAATGGCCAGTACCAGTCCATTTCAGCTCACTAATGCATAGGATATCAATCTTTTTGCATTCCATTTCATTTTTGATGACTTCCAATTTTACTAGATTCATACTTCTTACATTCCATTTTCTGATTATCAATGGATATTTGCAGCTGTTTCTTCTCATTTTGAGTCGTGCCACATCAGCAAATGAAGGTCCCAAAAGCTTGACACTAGTATCTAAGAGAATAAAATACGTAAGAATAAATTTAACCAGAGTTTTCATCTTGGGAAACTTTTCTGGCTATCTAGTTGAAATATTACTCCAGTTTGCAAAATCGTATATTAAATAAACTTCAATTAATTTCTTTTTTAAAAAAAATTAACCAGGGATGTGAAAGACTTGTACAATGAACATTATAAAATACTGCTGGATGACATTAAAGTAGACTGCAATACATGGAAAGATGTTCCATGTTCACGGACTGAAGACTTAATATTGTTAAGATGTCAATACTACCCAAAGCCATCTACAGATTCAATGCAATATTGATCAAAATTCCAACAGCCTTCTTTACAGAAATAAAAAACCGTTCCTCAACTTTATGTGGAATGGCAAGAGGCCATGAATAGCTAAAGAATGTTGAAAGAGAAGAACAAAGTAGGAGTACTCACACTTCCTGATTTTAAAACATACGGCTATAGTAATCAAAAGAGCCTGGTACTGGTGTAACAATAGACAAATACCCAGTGGACTAGAACTGAGATCTAAAAATAAACCCACACATCTATGGTCAACTGATTTTTGACAAGGGTGCTAAGTCCATTCAATGGGGAAAAAAGAGTCTCTTCAATGAATTGTGCTGAGAAAATTGGATTTCCACGTGCAGAAGAAGAAACAGAATCCGTGCCTCACATGATACACAAAAACAAATTAAAAATGGATTGAAAACCTACATGTGAAAATTAAAACCATAAAATTCTTAGAAGAAAAAGCAGGAGCAATGCTGTCAGGCCTAGGTTTCAACAATGGATTATCTAGTATAACAACAAAAGCACAAACAGCAAAAGACAACGTAAATAAATGGGACCTCACAAAAATTAAAGGCTTTTGTTCATCCAAAGACTTTATCAAAATTGTGAAAAGACAAGCTATCGACTGGGAGAATATCTTTAGAAATCATATATACAACAAGGACCCCACCGCTCTGCTCAGGCCCTGTCTCACACATACTCATCATCTATCAGATGAACAAAGTGCTTCACCAGGGAGTTTCAAACAACCTCTGACAAGGAGAAACTATAGTTGTCTTCCAGCCAAAAACTTCTAAATCAAGTAGGATATAT